TTCCTGTTAAGTATCTTAGTGGGTTCAGACTAAAATAGAAAAATTATGGAGTTCGATGAAAGTTTTGTCTTATATTGTATTTCATAGAGCTGTATGGGCCACAAATGTTTTGCAATAAATATTTTGGACGGAATTGTACATGTCGACGCTGATGTAAAGAAATATTCGAACTGTAATATTACAGAGTATTGTATGCTATGTCATTGTACGCGTTCCGATGTTGAGCTTTTGCCTACTGTATATAAACATTTCGTTCTGTACATTGAAACACATCTAATGATGTCTACTGATCACGATTCGTGGTTCACCCTGTATATTGAAAAGTGTACCTTTCGACTTATTCAAATGTGAAAAGTACAGGGGAAAAAAGATGAGGGTCCATTTATCTCCTGTTATATTTGAATACGCGTAGGTATATATATTATTGTAAACTTCGTTTTCCTATTTAGGAAGGAGAAAAGAGATAAAAATGTTTAATTATTGCAATTCAAACAATAACTGTCTAAAACAAATATCACAGTAAGTGTGATATTTTTATCATTGTCAATTATCAAAAACTGCATAATACCTAGTTATCGATTTCCACTGTTTATAATTCGTTTTACTCAAAATCACGTTAATTGGATACTCGACCCTTCGCCTCTGTACTGTTCATTCAGATTACATTCATATTTTAGTATCGAATCGAATATAACCCACGAGTAAAGATCTAAAAATATAAATGATAGTGGTTGCACGTATAAATCGCAGAATCTATAAAAAGTTCGCTCAGAAAAATACGCAAGAACCTATAAAACAACCCGACATCTTCCATACCAAACGCCGCCAAACGTCGTTCAATAGAAAATCGATTATCAATGATGCGGAGCAGGGAAGTGGTTTTTCAATTCTTTTTCCGCGGGAACGTGTCACGCACATAGTCATAGAAATATAGACTGCGTATCACACTGGGCCGGCGTCCCAACTTTAGAAAAAGACGGGTTACTTTCGGAGGACTTGCTACCTCTTTCTAATGCAGCTGAGTCAACCATTCAAAACGCAGATCCCCAGAACATCAACCCCCACTAATTAGATTTAAAAAGAGATGCCAAGTCCTCCGAAAGCTATCTACCCCTTCTGAAACTTGAAACGCCCGTTTCAGGGAGATGCGCAGTCTATATTTCTATGTCTATGGTCACGCATAATGCCATATATCGTCCGAAGCCGGTCTCCCAACGTGTGCTCCGCAAGTTTCATTACGGCGCATTAGTAAACGGAGCACGGGGCTTGCTCGGTTCTGAAAATTTTATAAATCGTCAGAGAGCGGGGGGCTGGGAGATCGTAATTCTGTTCGCGTATCTCGCGAGCATTTAAAGTCGCACGATGCGTTTCTCATGCATAAAAGGAGCTTCGTTGTCTGTTGATATCAACGAGTGCACGGTCGACAACAGGGATTGCACGGAGGTTCGGGAGAATACGAACGCAGCTTCGTGAATACAGTAATACCGCGAGAGTAGAAAATTTCTCCAAAATAACGATAATTTTTACACAATATGCATATGTGCTTTATATCTGCAGGATGTTAATTTTTTAAATATTTGTAATAGAATAAGAAACAAGTTTTTTTATACAAAAACCTCTATTGTACAATTTTATACATGTATACATCAGTACGTATACAGGGTTCCCAAAAATGTCCTCCGACCCGGTAATGGGTCACTCGGGGGGTGAAGTGGAACAACTTTTTTCTTAGCAACAATGTAATCTGAGGCTTCGTTACCGAGATATTAACGAAAAACCGCGACCAATCAGAGCGCCAGATCTATCAGAGAGTAGATAGGACACTGTCCTAAGGACAGGCCTGGCCAAACACACGCCCCTGGAGCTTCATAAACAATAATACCAGCCCCCACCACTCGCTTCTGTTGTGTTGTCATCAGGTGTGCGGCGGGTATCCGACATTTCGGGATCGGGTCGGGTCGGGAGAAGTCGGACGAGATGGGCCGGGATCCCGACAGTATACATCGCATCGGGATCCCGACAGATGTCGGGTCCCGAATGATATTTTCGGGAACTTATCCATCTAACGGCAAAAAATTAAATTACACCTAACTATACTATACTTTATTTATTCTACTTAATAAAAATATAACGTACGAAGAAATGTGTACTAAAGATTGTATTATTGATCCTGTTCAACCGCAGGAATCCATTTGGAATCGTTAACTTATTTAGCATTTATAATTTATATCATGAACTTGAAGATTCAATATGGTATTGTATCGCATAGTTTAAGTTTTTGTCGTTAGATGGATAAGTTTTCGAAAATATCGTTCGGGACCCGACGATCTTACGAGACCCGACATCTGTCGGGGATCCCGGCTGATCTCGCCCGACTTCTCTCGACCCGACCCGAGGCTCGGGAATCCCGTTACTTCGGATACCCGCCCACCCCTGGTTGTCATCATTGGGCAGGAGGTGCGCGCGCATGGTAAACAGAAACCAGCGTTCTAGAACAGAGCGAAAACACGTACTTTGCAGAAGTACAACGAACGAACCGTTGTGCAGTTTCACTGAAGCGGGGGCTCCGAAACGTCCGCTCAGGTCCCTACTAAGGTGGTCGGGTAGACAACATGTGTCCGTGAATTTTTTTTTCCTGCTCCTCGAGGGAAACGTAGTTTCTGCTTTCTATCTCGAAGCAATGGGTATCCTGGCAGTAAATTAACGGAGAGATACCCTGTATATTACTTTTACATGGTGAGCAAACAAAGTTCAGCTCTGTAATTTTGCAAATTTAGTGTCCCCATCTGTAGCTTCACATGGGCCAAGACACAAAAAAAAATTGTTTCCGTTAACAAAAATATCGAAACCAATTAAATTGTTGAAGCATGTCATTAATTACATACTCCGAATATATGTTCATGGATTCATAGAATTTTTAAATTTGCTTACTTCACATGTAACGTAAAATTGTCGGTATCCAATAAATTTTTACGCTATCAAGATTTACTGAAATATTTATCATTTGTTACGCGTTGCATATTTGACGTTACGACCACAGTCTTCCTACACATGCTTGGCAACTAGTATAGTTCGTTGCTAACAAATTTTAGTACTTTCTTCACGAGATGTTACGAGTGGCGATATTCCGTGGTAGGCGATATTAGATGCAGTTACCCTATATGTATGTACACTGCGATCGGTGCTTCGCTGCACTCCCGACGATATTGCGTAACACTATCGTGAAAGCGTCTTCCATTCAAAAACAAATGAAGATTGAAACATGTGAAGTTATGGTAACGACATGATATAGACTTTCAATGCGAGAGAAAAAAGAAAGCTACTACAACGGGATTTCGTCCTAAAATATTGCTAATTGTTAGAGGGCAGCCACTACAGTGGCGATTTGTCCCAAAAAATTACTTACAAGGAATGTTCACGAAGTGATACACGTAGATTTTTCTGTAACTTTGCTCCATTGTTTATGGGGCCAACGTAAGAATTTTGTCATTATTGGGTCGTGCTACTTTTATGCTTTAAAGAAAGGAACTATCCTTTTTATCCTCAGCGTCTCTTTTTTACTTATTCGCTTGTAATTCGTAAACTACGAAAGTTATCGAAAAAACATTCAGATACAGTTTATATCGGTTTTAGTTGTCCATACATCGGCGGAAAAAAATTTAAAAAAAAAACTTTTTGGATGAACTTTCGGAAAACACCCACATCCGATGACCCTGACCTTGACATATGTTATCAAGGTCACCCTCCCGAGTAACATTTGAAAGATTTAAACTGCTGGTGGTTGGTCATTAAAAAGTTACGAACAAAAAAATGCTTGAACTGTCTCTAACCAATTTCAATCAGTATAATGCTTCAAACTTGGTTAGAGACAGTTCAATAAACAAATAATTCAGAGTTAGTTAGAGACAGTTAAGAAAAAAAGGTATCATTATTATCACCGCGGATTTTTAGTGAAATTCTACGACGAAATAAGCAAGTATGTATTCTACCAGTTTGTTTTTTAACTAGCTCAAACCAACTTCAATCAGCATAATGCGTTAAAGAGTAGTTTTTAAAGACACTACGTTACGAGAGTGACGATTTGTGGGAAAATTACGGTAAGTTAATCTTCCTTTGATAACAGCTTTTCAATATCCAATGATCAGCGGTTTGAAAGCCTTTTAAAGGTTATTAGGTAGGGAGACCTTGATAACGTATGTCAAGGTGAGCGTCATCAGGCGTGGGTACTTTTCGGAAGTTTACCCCATTTTTAAACCATTTTTTCCTATCGATATATGGATACCTAAAAACGGTATAAACTATATCTAAACGTAAGACAAAATTCTTAGACCAATCTTCGGAGACCAATTCCATAAACAATTGAGCAAAGTCACAGAAAGATCGACGTGTCTCAGTTCTCGAACATCCCTTGTTAGCAGAAAGCCACTATAGTGACTATTGCATATACTATATGTATACCAAGGGGTCGGAAACTGCGGCTCGCGAGCCAAGTGCGACTCTTTGGGTACTTATATGCAGAGATGGGCAAACTCATTATCTAGATAAAAAGTTTCGAATAACGAATAAAAGATAAAAGTATTTCGTCATTTTTAATTGTTTGAACGTGGGATTTTCAATTTTTATAATAAAATATTACTTCTTTAGAAATGAATCGACATTTGTCGAACAATTATTTAACCTCATTAACTGTTTAAAGCTCAGGACGACACCCTTAGATACTGCTGCTTTTTACTGTATATTATTCGAATAAAACTCTGCCCAACTCTGCTTACATGTGGCTCTGAAGTACACTTCATCGGCTACGTAATTGTAGCTTCAAAATTAAAGCCTTTCCTTCTAAAATGTCGAAAGTGATCTTACGCTGAAAACTTCATAAATCAACACGGGAACGCGAAGGAAGAGGGGGGGATCGTGATTTCGTTCGCGTATACCGGCGAGCATTTAATGCCCCCGCGATATGCGTTTCACATGCATAAAAGGAGCTTCGTTTCTGCCCGCAGATATCAACGAGTGCCAAGTCGACAATGGGGGCTGCACGGAGGTCTGCGAGAACACGGACGGGAGCTTCTTCTGTGCCTGTGACGGTGACGAGAAAGCCCTGTCATCCGACGGGAAGTCCTGCGTGGGTAAGTCCTCCAACGCCCGGAACTCCGTTCTCCTTCGGTCGTTCTCCCTCCCGACACCCCCCCCCCCTCATCCTCCGTTTTGTTGCCCGAAGCGCCGTCCATCATTCGCGCGCGGCGGATGGGAAACGCAATATGCCCGTATGACGCGGGGGAATTTCTCGACTAGATCGTAATGACGTCATCGAGGATAACCTGTACGGGGTGGTGAGGAGACATTTTCAACCCCGGATAAACGACCGGTTGGCTTTTTTTCGATTAGTACGTACACGGCTGAGTAATATGTTCCCCTTTATTATGCCGCACCCTCGAGACAACGATAAATTCGTCCGGCATTTCTTGCGACCGGATTAATTCACCGCAGGGATGGCGTTCCGGGCGCGCGAGGAATTTAATGGAAACGGATCGCCGGGTTTTCTTTTTGCTTCGCTTTCGGTCGTTTGAATGCTCGCAACGGATACTGGATGCCTGAGGTGAACGGGGGAATATACAGGGTGTAACAAAAATGTTGTCCCACCTGGAAATGGGGCACTCGGGGGGTGAATTGGAAAAAAGTTTTGTATTAGAGCGCGGGAACTCGGATGGCAAACTTGCGCTCTGATTGGTCGGGGTTTTTCGTTAATATCTCCGTAACGAAGCCTCAGATTACATTGTTGCTAAGGAAAAATTTTTTCCAATTCACCCCCCGAGTGCCCCATTTCCGGGTCGAACAACATTTTTGTTACACCCTGTATTTGTGGGGATGCTAGGGGTAGATCGAACGAAGAAAGGTGGTCCGTAACACTGAGTTCCCGGAATGGTTCAATAAGTACCTGTAGATCGTCGATTATCCGAAATGCTGATCGTTCGATATTTCGATTATACACTGTTCAACAAGTCCCAAAATGATGGAGCTGAACCTTATTGTTTGTGGTTAATTAATCTTCCGTTATCGCATTTACCTTTTCAAACGTAGTTGTTACACTGGGTCAATTTGACCCTAATTAATCTTCAATTAGTTGTTTAAAAACTGTTTGTTAAATTAATTCGCAAAAAATTCTGAGATAAATTTTCAACATTTTAAATTATATCTTTATGGTTGAAAATTAATATTGAAGGCTTCATCATGTTTAAAAGAATTCTTGGAGAAAAATAAAATTCCGAGATGTTGTTTTAGGATAACTGAAATTACTATTAGATGGCGCTAGTAGTAGGTTCCATTTTCAATGATGTCTCACAGATATTTTACTTTAAAGTCAAATTCTGGGTCTATTTGACCCAGTGTGACAACGACGGGTTAAAGGTTCTTTTTCCTTTTCCTTTTTCCCTTACACGTCACGAAGTCTAACTTTTTGGATATAAAGTATTCAACAAATACTAATAAAAATAATAATGGATTTAAGTAAGATGTAAAGCTTATGAAATATTTTTGCGTTCAAAAATAGGAGATACATACGTATATAATTTTAACAGCTTCATATTTAAAAATAAATTTTAAAAAATCCTTACGTATATGGTCAAAAGTAGGATTACCGATGTATTCAGCAATTCAAGATTAAGTGAATGAAATTAGTTTCATTCCATAATTTTTTAATTTTCCAAATTTTGTTATAGACTGTTATCAGAACATCGTGCACGTTACGAATGTTTGATTAAAAGATTGTACAACGCTTCCATTGACAATAGGATATACTAAAATAGAAAATTATAGTTGTGATAATCTTCAGAAATGATTAGAAATACGTAAAAGACAATCGAGGATGTAACATTGTTAATAACGATAATAGTGTTTCACGGATTTTTTGTCCAAGGAAATAACATAAATGAAGAATTGGCGGAACTATGTACCATTTCATTCTACTACGAAGTTAAAAATACGTCAAATCTGTTCAAATATTTATTTGTGGTATTATGAGATCTTCTATGGACTAAATATCAATTTCTAAAAATTACTTTAGTTCTAGTTATAGAAGAACCGCTTATCGGGACAGATTTGTCTCCCTATTAATTCGGATAATCGGCGTTCTATTGTAGTCAAGCTCTAAAAGACAAAGAAATCCTCTAATTCCTTTGAAGTGTGTATTTTTTGGCTTTCAGCAGAACTCCATTCACGTTTTATATAGGATGTTCCTAAATTATCGGTGGAAACTTAATTGGTTAATACATAGAGTTCGTTATACGAAACAAAACAGCCTTAAAGGCTCCCACAAACCGACGCGATATATTCGCAGCGGTAGCGAATATTTCGCCGCGATAGATTCGCAACAGTTTAAAATGCATGGCGTCTTATGAGACTGTTCACAACAATGCGAAAAATTTCTGCAAAAATTTATTTATAAAAAATCTATCTCCGCGTTGGTTTGTGGGAGCCTTAATAAATGTGATTATTTAATTTTTTTTATCTTTTTAGCTAATGGTTCTATGTATATGTGTTTATATCACGGAACGATTACTGTAGTTACAATTAAAAAATGATTGAACGTGTACGTTTGTCGATAAAGAAACACAATGTAGCTTACATAAAAATGAACATCCGACACTTTGATAAGTGCATACATATTATGTCTGTGTTGATATCTCTTGCTGACATTTTATAATATGCTTCTAAAAATTGTCCATCTCTTTTTGTTATATTGTGTTTAAAAACTCATCTTATATTCTGCATTTTTGTCATGACTAATTCAAAATATTTCCCTTTGTTCGTAGGAGAAGATAAAAGTACAAGAAAAGTAATATCGTAAATCGAATTCTTAAATTATGGGCATAACGTGTGTGAAGTACTACAAAATAATCTACAATACCGAACTACATATCTGGTTAATTAGTTAGTAAGCTGAAATGGTATCACATTTGTTATATTTATGTTTCTCTTGAAGTTACTGTGTATTTTTCGATGCAGTACACCAACAAGTTACGCTTTAAGACGCGTTCTATTGAATTATCAAAATTTTTCAAATACAATTCGCTAATTTAGAATACATTGGTACATTATGCTCCGAATTGGTGCTGAACTACTACTTGCCGTATTATTTCCATTTCGCCTCACGTTCGCTCGAATTTTTATTGCACGAGTTTACCCTCGTTTGCATAAACCTATCGGTGCAATAAGAAAGACACAAGAAGTTCCACCGTGAAATTTGCATTGCTCAGGAATACGCTAACGTTTTACAAGTTTCCCGAGGAATATGAAATCAAGTGACCCAGATTGCGATTGTTTGCACAGTTACTGTCGGTTCAAAACGTGGCTGTGTGTCTTGCGACGAGCCGATAATTGCCGAATTCTATTAAATTGTCGATAAGAATAGCCCCTTGTATAAATTTCAAGGTATCAGACAAGACGCTCTGGTGTTATTCAGGCGTCTGAAACGTGTCTACGACAATTTGAAATAAATTCTTGTTTTACATTACGAATCCTGGTATTGATACTTCTCGTATTATAAAACGCGCAGTGTCACGTGAATTCTATCTTCTAAAAAGTTGTTCATACATGAATGCATTTATGACGTTGGAATATTATTATTCTCAGCTTTCTCATACAGATAACTTTCACGTTTCTTTCTTAACTTAACGGTTAAAAGGATTTTCACAAACTATACTGTGACACTTTAAATGTCTACTTAAAACGAAGTACTTTTAAATTTATTTAATTTTTTGAAGTATTCATTTATCATAATGATTGTACTATTATAATGCGAAATTCGTAAGTTATACGAGAGTAAAATGAGAATGAGTTCAGAGCCCCCTCCCTGTTAAGTTCTATCGTTTAAAAGCTGGATCGTGCTAGTGAGCCGGCGTTTGCAACGTGGTGGGAGAGCGAATCTGTGTGCTCGAAAGTACGTGTGTAGGGGAAGTGTCTCGCGTGGCAATATGTTTAATGGCAATATAGTTAGAGTTCACTGTATAAACGAAAAAGAAGCGATTCAACCTGTCAACTTTTTCAATTAATTCCAGTAATTCTCCCAAAAGCAAACCGAAATTATATACAGTGGAACATCAATTATCGAAATGTCGATTATCGGAAATATTGATCATACCGAATATCGGTTATCAGAACACAGAACATTTACAAATGTTTCATAACATCTACCTTCCGATATTGTTTTATTTCCAATCGTTTTAAGACACAAAGAAATCACTTAGAAGCTAAAATGATCAATACTGGGATATATACAGTAGACAAAATTGGTCATGTTCTAAACGTTAGGTTCTTTTACATATAGGTTAACGCTGCAGCGAATGTTATGTAATAAATCCTTTAAAACATACGGTTGTCATTGTTAGACTGCGGATGTTTATGCATTTATGTCATCCATTAACTTGGAAAATACAATAAAATAAAGATCTTAACAACGTTTAATACTACATGTTTACGTACTATTATTAGCGTATTAAAACCTGTAGTACAGAATTCAAAGTCTTGTCCCATTTTAATTTTTAAATATTTGTACCTGAAAGTGTGAATATGCATAAACTTCCACAGAATAGTCATTGCAACACGGAAGGTAGTTAAACGTAAATTTATTCAGACTGTTAAAATTGAGATATTTACAAGAAGTAGAGTTGGTAAGTTTCACTTCTGAGAGGGTCAAATGTGATTGTAGTTCTTATGAACCAATTAACTGAAAAATTACTCATCAGAACAGATTTATTTCTGTTTCTTTGAATAATCGACGGTTTACCGTAATAAAAATTTCCGTATAGAGCTTCATTTTCAAGAAAATCGAAGTCGGTACTGAGAATTCATCTGATATGTATCATTGATTTGCTAGAAAAGCGATACAACTAACAAAAGTAAATTTTTTAGTAAATCGATTTAAAATTTTATGTTGTAGAAAATTCTTGATAACCTAATCCATTTAGTAATAAACAAACGTTTTCTTTTATAATTTAGCTAATAGTTTTAATTTAAATTTTGTGGGTTTCTAATAAAATATTGTTTACGTGTATTGCTTATGATTAAAAAGAGGGTTAAAACATCCTTATTTTAATTGCGATATTGCTCTTGGTAAATAGTATAATTTTAA